TATATATATATATATATATATATATATATATATATATATATATATATATATTTTACTTTTAAAGAACGATTTTAGATTAAATTAATAAAGATATCTATCAACGTTTATATTTTTGTCTAAAATTACTCTTTTAGCTTCTACAAAAGTGTATATATATATATAATTACTATTAGCATGGATGGAAACCGTTAATATTTATTTCGAAAATATCCTTTAACTTTCAACCGAATTTTAAAAATACACTTTAACTTGCAAAAGTGTTTCCAAAATACTCTTAAACTTTTTTAAAAAGTACTCTTATAGCCGATAAAAAATAATATTAAAACGTTTGGAGATGATCTATGAAATGTCGGACGGTTTCTGTCCATATTATAGATGATAAGAACATTTTTTAATCCTTATATATATATATATATATATAAAAGTTGGGTGTTAATACTATTTTTAAAGTTTAAATTGACAATAATGGTATTCTGAAGAAAAAAAAATTTAACAAAAATTTATGAGTATTTTTAGACGAAGTTCAAAATTGAGAATTCTTTTCACCATGGTTTAGATATTGACAAAGTATCAAACTTTATTAAATAATGCAATGTAATATAATAACGTTAAAGTTTCGTCTAGTTTCGTGAATAGACTTCACCGACTCCAAAAGATATGCGACTTTTTTAAAATTAAATTATTATAGCTTTTACAAAGACAAGACAACTTAAATAATATTAATATAAGGCTGATAATAATACATAACAAAGACACATATCATTAACTAAGAAGTCAGATGTCCGAATCCTCTCACCCCACCTATTGTTGAACTAAAAAATACTAAATTATAAATTTGAACATTAAACTTGGAAGTTTTTGTGAACTTTAAAGTGTAATAAATCTATGAATTTTGAATTTTATGTTCTTAAACTTTTAATATTGCGCACGTGTATATATATATATATATAGAATTAACTTATCTATTAGACATAAAATTAAATTTTATGTCTAATAGGACTCGACACTTACCATTCTAGGCCTAGTACATATATGAATTTTTAAAACAAAATTCAAAAATTTAGGAACTAAATAAACACATGCTTAACAATCTAATAACTTATTAAACACTCTAAATCACATATTAAACTTTTGTAATGACACTAGTTGAAACAAAAGACTCTTAAATAAGCATCCAAACATCTGAAGGTTGAGATGAATCTACAGAGACATTCTAAAGGGCCATCTTCATGATGAACGGTTGAAAATATACGATAGATTATTGGACAAAAACTTGCAAGTTTCAGTGATTAACATAGCAGAACATTGCATTTTTTAATGAGAACAAGAGCACCCAGTTTCACTTACACCTTCAGAAGCCACCTTATAACTCTGCTCCCAAATGTTGGTTGGTGTTGCTTCAGCATGAGGAACATGACGAGGATGTTTCTCTCTCTTGTCCCCTTTTATTTGCTTCAATGCATGTTTAAGGCTTGGCAGTAACGCCTCCATGCACTCCGCTGCAGCGTTTGGATTTCCGGGCATGTTGATGATCTAGAGTACTCGATTAAACAACGAGGAGTAATTTACTTATGATAGTTGACATTCATAAAAAGTATCTAATGAATTATGAGTTCAATACATCCTGTTTAGCAGAAAGACAAGCATTCTTTGTTCGTTATCAAACAATCACTTATTCACAAACCTCGTGTGGGGCTAATAGTTTGAATTTCTCATCTCATGGAAAACCCTTTTCGTTCCGCTTAGCCCTATCCCCCAGTAGGGTATTTCAGTGATAGATTCTATAGGAACTAGACTGACCGAGATAATCACTAGGTGAAATAAAAAGAACAACGAGGTCTCAAATTACGGTTGGTTAGGTAAATTACAAGTTTACCGCTAAACTTTGAGGTTTGTGTCTATTTGGTGCATGAATCTTCAAACGTGTTTAATGTCCCTAAACTTTTAATTTAGTGCCTAGTATGTCCTACCCTTCTAAATGATCCATGGAAATTTTAAAAATTTTAAAAATTAATTGATCTATTGTTAGATCCCACATCGGTGGGAGAGGGGAACAAAATATTTTTTATAAGGGTATGGTAACATTTTCCTAGTACATCCAACGATGACAATATTTGCTAGCAGTGGGTTTGGGCCGTTACAGAAAAAAATAAAGATATTCGAAAAATAAGATTTTAAGGATTTTCTCTAC